ACTTTGTCCAATTTGAATAGGCAATTTTTATTCAGACCAACAGATATAGATAAGTCGAAGTCGCTAACAGTGGTGAAGGCAGTCGAAACATTTAATTATCATAATACCAAATTAATTCCGCACCATGGTAACATAATGGATACAAATCAGTTTCTGATAGCATGGTGGGACCAATTTAGTTATGTTTTTAATGCATTGGACAATTTGGAAGCTAGGAGATATGTTAATAAAATGTGTCTTTTTTTGAAAAAGCCATTAATGGAAAGTGGAACTACTGGATATGATGGCCAAGTTCAACCAATATTCCCGTATTATAGTGAATGTTTTGAATGTCAAGCCAAAGCTACTCCAAAGACATATCCAGTTTGTACAATTAGATCAACACCTTCACAACCTGTTCATTGTATTACTTGGGCAAAAGAATTTTTGTTTCACCAGCTATTTGATGAATCCTCGTCTACCGTAACAACTGCGCAATCCAAAGAGCAACAGCGCAAGAAATTGCAGGAAGAAACAGATGATAATCAGGAAATTGAAAACATGTTGAAGGAAAGCAATGAATTAAGCGAATTGCGCCAATTGATAAAAACACCTACCTTGGAAGACCGCAAACAATTTATTCATAGAACCATCATAAAAATATTCAAGGTTGATATTGAAAGATTGTTGCGTATTGATTCATTATGGAAAACAAGAATGAAGCCGGTTCCATTGCAATTTGATGAGTTATATATTAACGATTTAAACAACTTGTTATCTGACAAAAGTAATGAAGTTATAATTAGCAGGGATACTCTGATATGGTCATTACTAGAAAACCTATATGTTTTTTATAAAGCTAGTGAAAATCTACAGAAACGATTAAATGGATCGGAATCTTTTATATCATTTGATAAGGATGATGAAGATACTCTTAATTTCGTGGTGGCCGCTGCGAACATAAGATGTAACATATTTAATATTGAAGTGAAGAGCAAGTTCGATATTAAGCAAATAGCTGGGAATATTATACCTGCTATCGCTACAACCAATGCTATAATATCAGGTTTCTCGAGCTTGGGGGCATTAAGATATTACGAATCTAATGTTGAAAACAATGATTTCGAAAATATACTGAAAGATTCATCTACTGTATTTGTCAGTATCAGACCTAATAAATATATTACCTCAGCATCGTTAATTGGTCCAGGAGATCAATGCCCTAGTTGTTCACTTTCAAGAGGATTACTTAACATAAATGACAACGAGCTAAAAATATGGACCTTGAAGGATTTGGTAGATAAATTAATCCAAACTTACGGTTACGAAGATGACGTTTCTATAATTCTAGGCCAGTCGAAATTAATATATGATTTTGACTTTGACGACAATTTAGACAAGAAATTGAGTGAAATTAATGGATTCAGGAATGGAGAACTACTTTTAATTCAAGATGAAGACGATATGCTTGAAAATTTGGAATTGTACATTAATACTAACTATGTAGATTCAAGCCATTTACCTATTATAAAGTTGCGGCCAAAGAAACAAAAGGTAGAAACACCAAAGGAAAACGAGGAAGATCAATACCAGGATATCTTAACCAATAATGATGCGATTATTATTGACGATGAGGAAGAATTGATCATAAATGACCACGAAGGTCCAGACTCGAAGAAACGTAAGGCCGAACCTTTAGAAGCTAACGGCAAAAAGTTGAAAGCATAATAACTAATTACTATTTAATAATTGAAATAAGTCTTGATAATAAATTTTTAATTGTTTTAATACAAAAAATTGGTCTGTTTGCCCATATTTTGATTTATTACTTGTCAGATAATAAAGACTTGTACTAGTTTACTTTAGCTATATCATATTATGTGTATGTCCTAAACATATAAATGCTTATATATATTCGTTACTATATCTCGAATTCATTTCATCGTTATTACATAGAACCACCATTAGCGCTATGGTTACCAACAAGGCCTACCATTTCCAAAAATGCCCGTTCTTCTCCTAAACCTCGTAAATTTACGCTTTGTCTTGCTTCAGCTTGCTTCTCTTCCCACGCCCATTGTTTTCTTTGTTCCTGTAACTCCTTGGTAGAGCCTATTCCCCAAACTTCCAAGTCACTTATCATGAATCTATCTTCGAAATCTTGAACGGATATTTCCTCTTGTTTCGACTTTTGGAAGAAAGTGCCAGCATTCGAATTAGGTGACGAGATATGCCTAAATATCGCAAATTCCAAGTTAGATTCGATTGTTAAGGAAATATCTCCTGGCAAAAACTTTTTTACAGTATTCTTATTTATTGGTTGGTTATTTCCAAACCCTAAACCCATACCCAAGTTATTGAAATATATCAGCTTACCATTTAATACAGGGTTATGTACACTTTTATAAAAGTCGAATCTTGGCAGGAGGTTTAAAATCACGGTGTCTTCGTCACCAAAATTGTTTTTATTCGAATTCTTCCAAGGCAGATTTATAATTACAGCGTAGGTCATCTTATCATTATCATCTTGCCAGAATTTTTTTGGGTTTTCCAGAGACCTAAAATACAGTGGATACATTTCATTAAACTGAATGTACCTGTTATTATGCTTCATAGTTTTATTCTTCACTCTTTTTCCTGAAACCAATAATAGCGTAGGTGCTTGCCATTTGAAAATCTTCAGCTCCAATGATCTAATAGAAAACCCAGATTCAGATCCAGCATACAATTTGATTAAATTCTGGGTCGTAATGCTTACGTTAGACTTCATATTTTTCAAACACATTGAAATCAATGAAATGGAAGCATCATTAATAAGCTTCGATTCTACAAACTTGGGTATTTTCTTGTGAACCTTAGATACCTCATTATCATTTGCGTCTTCATGAGATTTTGGGGCTTCATTAGAATTCGTTACATCTGCGGTATTTATTGATGATAAGACGCCATTCTTGAAGATTTTCATCCATGCGTTGGTAAAGAATATTGGTAAACCATTGGAAATTCCTTTTTTAAACTCCTCATATGAAATCTTAGTGGTTTTAATATTTTTCACGCTAATATCCAAATTTATATATCTTATTATGCTTAAACAACAGGTTTCAAATTCGGACCATCTTGCAATGTTTTTTGACAAATGATCTTGCATTTGGGTGTGGCTCATTTCAGGAACAGACGAAACAATTAAAAAAAAGGTAAGTAGTTGCAATAAATCGTATGCACAAATATATATAGAATCCAAATCAGTATCGTCAAATGATTGTATCACACTGAACGTGCTCCACTTGATTTTTCGTGATAAGTTACTATCATCATCTTCTGAGGAGAAATCCGTAACATCTAGATTATACAATGTATCTTCTTTGTTGTCACTACCACTTGTACTAGAGCTGGTCTTTTCTTCGAGATAAGTTTTGTTAATATCACTCAACGATATAAAGACTAACTTTAGATAGTCGTAATCTGCGGTTAACAATTTCTTATAACGACCAGTATGGAATAAGGCAGACTTCATCAAGCTTTCAATGCTTAGTTTAGGTGCTGTCTCATTCTGAAGAAATGGAAAATTTCCAATGACTGTAAAAGAGTTACTCAATAAATTAAGTACATGCTTAATATTGTCGTCGATACCTTCAATTTCTTCATCTTTTATTATTTTAAGTAAATATGCCAAGTCCTTTAATGTAACATCAGACTTTTCTTTGATATTCTTTATACCTAGTTTTGATGTTATTGCTCTTATTTCAACCGGACGAAATTGCAAATGGCTTTGAATATTAAAATACTCTAAGATTTTGTCCTTTGTGAATTGCTTCTGAGTGACGTTTAAGCTCGCCTCATATTCATTATCCTTACTCAAACCCTGACCCATCTCCGATTAATAAATTCATTCATGAAGGGATAAATATTTGGGGTTTATCTTTATCTTGCGATTCAGAATTTAATTAATGCGACGATGGTCCCACTTATAAATACTCTTGCTAATGACTAAAGATTATTATTATTACTTAAGATATATCAGTATATACATACGTGAGAATTAGCTAAAGAAGTTACTTAACACGTCTTTTGATTTCATTTCTAAATCATACATGTATTTCTTATATTTGGAAGCAATACCATCTCCATCAGATAAAATCTGTTCTTCATCATCGTTGGTATTTCCATCATCATACTTCATGTTAAGCAGATCTTGTTTTAATAAACCCTTAGTAAATGAAACCACTACCAAAGTAAAGTAAAATCTAATGACGGTAATGATGATAGTGCTGCTTAATGTTAAGAACAATTCTCTTCCTGGAGAAGCAGATTCCGATGCTAATATTGCAGAATTTTGACTCGACGAAGGTGGAATCGCTGCCTCTGCAATGCTATTGTCTCTCTGGCTAAGTGGATCAGCAGTGGGATTACTGTCTTCTCTGCTAAACCAGAAATACAAAAAATAAAAGGTATATAATAATCCAACCACAGAATCTGCAATGTAAACTAAACACGCCAATGATATTTTCCTCGAGTTATTCTTTCTATTTTTCAAGTGTATGAGTCCGGATATGTAGGATGGTAAAACTAATATGGCTAGGATGTTATAGAGCCATTGCCAGAAATTCAAAGGATGCCCTGTAATAATTGACAAAATACCATAAACACCTCCTGCTTTATTTATTATGGCGACTGCTAAAATCAATTCAACTCCGATGTAAAGAGGAATAAATCCAAAAAATTTCTAATGATACCTTGTTAGTTGTCTTCATTCATGTCTTCATCCTTCAAATGTTTTTCTTACTTACTTGCGGTAAAATTTGATTAAGTTGCGAGGAAAGTGTCATTCTACAATTCCCAAGTCTTCCGTTTCGATTTTAATAAATATTTAGTATCAGTTAATCTTTTGTATCTTTTAGAAAGATATATTTCAGTTTAGGAGATCATCTCACGCAAAAAAAAATTTACCTGATATAGATTATAATAGATGAATGAATTAAAATCCAAGCTTCTGATAAACGTTTAATATAGTAATATAGATTATGTCAATAGATGCCATAACAGAGGAAGTTAAGGATATTGAAGTATATTCATCAGATACTGACTCTTCGGACAGTGATTTTGAAATTTCTGGTGGTGAAAAAAATGATAGTGGTAAATCGAAGACTATAACAGATAAAGGGGAAATTATTGCTAAATACTCAGACAAAATCAAAACTGATGATATAAAGAAAGGGACAAAAGTAACGAAGGACAGAGCAAATAGAGCTACAGTTGAACAGGTATTGGACCCGAGAACCATGAGATTTCTTTCGAAGATTATCAATAAGGGAATTTTATCAAGAATAAATGGATGTATAAGTACGGGTAAGGAGGCTAACGTTTATCATGGTGACCATGAAGATACAGAAGTGTCAGCTAGGGAATACGCAGTAAAAATTTATAAGACTTCGATTCTAGTCTTTAAAGACAGAGAAAGATATGTGGATGGAGAGTTTAGATTTAGAAATACGAAAAGCCAAAGTAATCCTAGAAAAATGGTTAAAGTGTGGGCAGAAAAAGAGTTTCGTAATTTGAAACGTTTGTATTTGAATGGTATTCCATGTCCCGAACCAATAGAGTTAAGGTCTCATGTTTTGGTGATGGAATACTTAACGAAAGGTAATGGCCAGCCATCTCCAAAATTGAGAGATCACCCATTCAAAGACGTTGAAGATATTGTATATTATTATCATCAGATGTTGTATTATATGAGGAGAATGTATCAGGAATGCAGATTAGTACATGCAGATTTAAGTGAATATAACTCAATTGTACATAATGAGAAGTTATATATCATAGATGTCTCGCAATCTGTTGAACCAGAACACCCTATGGCATTAGATTTCTTAAGAATGGATATCAAGAATGTTAATGATTTTTTTACTAGAAAGAAGATTAATGTTTATCCTGAGAGATTTCTTTTTAAGTACATCACCGACGATAATCAATCGTTAAACATAGAAAATAATTCGGACGAGCAGTTAAGTAAATACTTGGAAACAGTTCCATTAAAGACTGATGATAATGAAGATAATGTCGAAGATGAAGTTTTCAGATCTGTTTACTTGGTGAGGTCGTTAAATAATCTTGACGAAAGAGATTTCCAGAAGTTTTCAGAAGGTAAAGTGAACACATTAAAGGATTTAGTAGATACTAAAAATGTGGGTTCTGAACGTAATAATATTGACGAGGATGACGAAGGAGAGCATGATGAGGAAGAAGAGGACGATTCTGACGAAGATTCAAGTGAAGAATATGATTCTGATGATGATGACGAAGAAGAAGACAACAACGAACTGCCTAAGAAGAAAGAATGGGTAGAACGGGAGGAGGCCATTCCAAAGGGTAAGAAGCACGAGGACAAGGATGAGAAAAAAGCAAGAAAAGAAGCTGCAAAGACGTTGAAACAAGAGAAAAGAAAGACTAAAATGAAGAAACATGTCAAGAAGAAAATCATCAATAAGAGAAAGGCAAAATAATTTATCACAGACTTGCATTTATGTAATTACATATTCTAGCGGAAATACTATAGACTAATAATTGTTAATTAATGTATCCTTAAATTCTCTATATATTGTATTACGTGCCTCGAATATCAAGCTATTCAAACTCCATCCTCTTCCGACGTGGCTCATGGGTCGGATACGTAAAGATGTGTTTTATACACTCAGAATATCGTTTTGCTAGAATTTCAACCCACCAAGAATTTACACTTCAGTACAGGATTAGCATATATTTCAAAGTATACTCGAGTAATATTCCTTAGAGGAGATTGATACTGATACCCAAATACACTTGGTTACATTCGCAGCCATTAGGTCCTGACATCGAAAACTGATGGGATTTCAACGATAAAATACGGTACTATTCGCAAAACAAATGAACAGGGTCTATCATATAATCACCAGTTCTAGCAATCACATATCATAGTAATCACATATTACAATACTCTGTTATTGTTATTCTAAGTACCTATAAGTAGTATAAGTCTCTTTAGCTGGTTAAAGATACTAAACATTTTAAGCGATAATCCGGGTAACTTTGTCCACCCAAGACACTCCCAAAAATAAACATATTATAATCTTTCTCCATAATTGAAGAGTTAATCCCATTACTTGAATCACATTCAATAATAATTGATACTATTGATCAATTTATTGTGTATTGAACATTATAGAAAGATTTGAAATATTGATTGACTACGTTCCAGCCGATATTTTATACAGAATAGAGAATGGAAGAGTTTTTAAAAGACAGTCCATCAGACTTTGGTTCTAACACAACAGGTGCTGGAACAGGGAATACAAGTGCTAACTATGGTAGTGATCCTAACAATAGAAATAACTATGGAATGGGTTATTACGGAAATAATTATGGGCAACCTAACGGGTACCCAGGGGTGACGGAGAACGATCTTAATAGTACTAACAATAACTATACTAACGAGATGGGAACTTATACATCTTCGTTACCAAATGACCCATTTTTGGAGGATTTGGAGTCACTTAATTTTTCCAATAAACAACCACAGTATATCAACCCTACACAATCAACTAGTGGTCATTTAGAAGAAATTATATCTCCAAGTGCCCAAGTACAGAATATTTCGTTGAATAATAATGGGTTGAACCCGGACAACTCGTTTGTTAACCCACAATATTTCTCGCCTTCTAATAGAAACGCTAATTATAATACTTTGAATTCGATTGCCGAAGATAGCTTGTCAAGCTCATTCAACAACGCATTTAGCCCTTCTGCCTCTAGAAATGATAGTGTAAGTATTCCGTTTCAAAACCCGAATACTATCGAAGACTACAACGGTGGGGTTGATATAAATGCTGGCTCATATTTATCACCACAATTCAATTCGCAATACATGTCGCCAAGCAATAATTTTGACAATTCAATCGATACATTAAAATCTCCTTCGTTTAACTCGGGGTCGTATCTCAACTCACCACCTAAATACCAAAATACAAGGCGTGATAATTCTGGCGCCATAAGTAACAGTATTCCAAGTAATATATCCAAAAATAAGATTGTATCGCCGCCACCATTGGATAACAATTTGGGCACCTCGCTACCAGGCACTATGCACAACCAACCACCGGTTTCCACTAAGCAACTCAGCAAGGAAGAAAAATTAAAGAGAAGAAGAGAGTTCCATAATGCTGTTGAAAGAAGAAGACGGGATTTAATTAAGGAACGTATAAAAGATTTGGGCTTCTTGGTGCCTCCGTCATTATTGAATCCGCAATTATGCGCCGTCCAAAACCTACAAAGAAACTCACAATTGAATTCTCGTGAAATTAATGATTTGCTTGCTTCAATAAAAGTTAAAGAAACAAAACCAAACAAGAGTACCATTCTTAATAAGTCTGTCGACTATATAATTCACTTGAAATATGTGCTAGAACAACAAGATAAGAGCCAGCGTGAATTGGCACAGCAAATCGAGGAGATTGAAGCAAGACTAAATAACGGCAAACCCCAGGGTAATGTAGATATGTCAAACATGACACACCAATCTCAGCCATCGTCAGACATCAAACTTGAAAGTCAAGATGAATTATTTAATCCTGATGATTTTTTCCTGGATGTTGCCGGCAACAGTTCTAACCAGGCCAACCAATTCTTTAGTGATAGTATACGGTAGTAATTTTAAACCCTTATTCAATTAATACAGTTAACATATGTTATGGTGATTTTATAGATTATATAAATATGATACTTTCAACTAATCACGTGTATAAGCAAACCTCATATCGATAGCAAAACGAGTAGTAGAAGTACCACCTACTATAAACAGTCAGAGATTATGTCCGAACCAGAAAGTGCATTCAGACAACAGTTCAGCAGCTGGACTAACAATAATAACAATAGTAATGCTAGAACTTCATTACCACCATTTTCTAATTGGTCAGACTATATAAGGACAAGTGCTAATGATTTGTATGTGTCATTGCCTTCGTATAATACTGGATCACAACAGGCAATAGAAGAACCATCATGGTTTAAACTATCTCGATTTGAAAAGATGCTAGGGTTTGCTTGTTGTTTAGGAGGATCAGCGCTATGTTTCATTATCAGTTTCTTTTTATTTCCAGTGTTAGCATTAAAACCTAGGAAGTTTGGACTCTTATGGTCGATGGGATCATTTTTGTTTGTGATATCGTTTGGAATATTACAGGGCCCTTACCACTACACTAAGCATTTACTTTCGAAGGATAGGATAGTGTTCACGACAATTTTTTTTGGGTCGGTGTTATCCACGATGTACGCAGCTGTGATCTTGAAGAGCACTTTACTCACAATCTTTTGCTGTGTGATCGAAATCTTCGCCGTGCTATATTACACGCTAAGCTACTTTCCATTCGGTGCGCAAACCGTCACCTTCTTCACGAGCTACATCGTTGGATACGTTGGCGGTTTATTTGGTGGCTTACTATAGACAATATATAGCTATACACATCTTAATTCATAATTTTTCATCGTTCAATTGTGCTTGTAACTGTTTGTGCAACTCTTCCAACTTGGGGAAATCGGTTTCCAATGCAGGCCATCCAACTCCCAATCCAGTGGCTTCATCCTTCTTAGGAATAAGATGGAAGTGGACGTGGTCCACCACTTGGTGTGCAATCCGTCCGTTGTTCTGTAACACATTGTAGCCTTCGCCATCTAGAGTATTGTTTTCGTCCAATTTGAGCAACTTGGCTAATTTCTTAGTGACTGGCAATATGTCTGCTAAGTACTCATCTGGAATATTATGCAATTTGGCTCCGTGGTACTTAGGAATAATCAAGCAGTGTGCTTCCGCAGTTGGTTGAATATCCAAGAAAGAGTACGTAAATTTGGTTTCAATTAACTTGAATGATGGGATTTCTCCCTTAATAATTTTGCAAAAGATACACGATGCGTTAGAAGCTGACATTTTATTCACTGTAGAGACTCTTAGAACTTTCCTTATTCTAGAAGCAACTATCCCTAATGGCAAGTCCGATAAGATTCGGATATTATCACCAAAGAGTGAAAAGTTACACAAAACTCCTCATGCGAAATAGGGTGGCGAACTTACAGCATTTTAATACAGGGTGATTTATAAATCAAAGAAGAATTTAGGTCTTTTCATCATAATTGTTTTTCAATATTTCTTTTAATTAATATTTAATACTATTTAGTTGAATAGGGTAAACCAATTGACAAAATAAAGATGCCGGACGATAAAAAGAACTTACTAGACGCTTCTGGAGCACAAACCGCTGAAGATAGAACAGCAACCGCTATCTTGAGAAGAAAGAAGAAGGATAATGCATTGATTGTGGATGACGCTGAAAATGATGATAACTCAGTTATTACTATGTCGTCTAACACAATGGAATTGTTGCAATTATTCAGAGGAGACACTGTGTTGGTTAAGGGAAAGAAGAGAAAAGATACCGTGTTAATTGTGTTGGCAGATGACGATATGGATGATGGTGTTGCTAGAATTAATAGATGTGTCCGTAATAACTTGAGAGTTAGACTTGGGGACATTGTGAGTATTCACCCATGCCCAGACATCAAATATGCCAACAGAATCAGCGTTTTGCCAATCGCTGACACTGTTGAGGGTATAACCGGATCGCTTTTTGACGTGTACTTGAAGCCATACTTCGTTGAAGCATACAGACCAGTCAGAAAAGGAGACTTGTTCACTGTCAGAGGTGGTATGAGACAGGTTGAATTCAAGGTTGTTGAGGTTGACCCAGAAGAAATCGCCATTGTCGCCCAAGACACGATTATTCATTGTGAAGGTGAACCAATTAACCGTGAAGACGAAGAAAACAACATGAATGAAGTTGGTTACGATGACATCGGTGGATGCAAGAAGCAAATGGCCCAAATTAGAGAATTGGTCGAATTACCATTGCGCCACCCACAATTATTCAAGTCTATTGGTATCAAACCTCCTAAGGGTATCTTGATGTATGGTCCTCCAGGTACTGGTAAGACTGTCATGGCGAGGGCTGTTGCTAATGAGACAGGTGCATTTTTCTTCTTGATTAATGGTCCAGAAATTATGTCCAAGATGGCAGGTGAATCTGAATCTAACTTGAGAAAAGCATTCGAAGAAGCAGAAAAAAATTCGCCATCCATTATCTTCATTGATGAAATCGATTCTATTGCCCCTAAGAGAGACAAGACTAATGGTGAAGTTGAAAGAAGAGTTGTTTCTCAATTATTAACTCTTATGGACGGTATGAAGGCTAGATCTAACACCGTTGTTATTGCTGCGACTAACAGACCAAACTCCATCGATCCAGCCTTGAGAAGATTTGGTAGGTTTGATAGGGAAGTCGATATAGGTGTTCCTGATGCAGCAGGCCGTTTGGAAATCTTGAGAATCCACACCAAGAACATGAAATTAAATGACGATGTCGATTTAGAAGCCATTGCTTCTGAAACTCACGGTTTTGTGGGTGCGGATATTGCTTCCTTATGTTCAGAAGCTGCCATGCAACAAATTAGAGAAAAGATGGACCTTATTGATTTAGAGGAAGAAACTATCGATGCAGAAGTTTTGGATTCGTTAGGTGTTACAATGGAGAACTTCAAGTTTGCTTTAGGCAACTCCAACCCATCGGCATTACGTGAAACCGTTGTTGAGAATGTCAATGTTACTTGGGATGACATTGGTGGATTAGATACCATCAAAAATGAATTAAAGGAAACCGTTGAATATCCTGTTTTACATCCAGATCAATATCAAAAGTTTGGATTATCACCTTCTAAGGGTGTATTATTTTATGGTCCTCCAGGTACTGGTAAGACCTTGTTAGCCAAGGCTGTTGCTACAGAAGTTTCTGCTAATTTCATTTCAGTTAAAGGTCCAGAATTATTAAGTATGTGGTATGGTGAATCAGAATCTAATATTCGTGATATTTTCGATAAGGCCAGAGCTGCAGCTCCAACTGTTGTCTTCCTCGATGAATTAGATTCTATTGCCAAAGCTAGAGGTGGATCTCACGGTGATGCCGGTGGTGCTTCTGACCGTGTTGTTAATCAATTATTGACAGAAATGGATGGTATGAATGCCAAAAAGAATGTTTTCGTCATCGGTGCAACTAATAGACCTGATCAAATTGATCCAGCTTTATTGAGACCTGGTAGATTAGATCAATTGATCTACGTTCCATTACCAGATGAAGTGGCTAGATTATCTATTTTACAAGCTCAATTAAGAAACACTCCATTAGAACCAGGCTTGGACTTGTTAGAAATTGCCAAGATCACAAATGGTTTCTCGGGTGCAGATTTATCCTACATTGTCCAAAGATCTGCTAAGTTTGCTATTAAAGATTCCATTGAAGCACATATCAGATTACAAAAGTCTAAGGCAGATGCTAAGCAAGGTGATGATGTAGAAATGACCGAAGAATCTAAGCCTACAGGTGAAGAAGAAGAAGAAGAGGAAGAAGACCCTGTTCCTTACATTACCAGAGCTCATTTCGAAGAAGCTATGAAGACAGCCAAGCGTTCCGTCTCTGATGCTGAATTACGTCGTTACGAAGCTTATTCTCAGCAAATGCAAGCTTCAAGAGGACAATTCACCAACTTTAGATTCAGTGAAGGTGAAGGTAATGAAGGTGCACAATCCAACTCTAATGGAAATGAAAATGCTGCTGCTTTTGGTAATGTTGAAGAAGACGATGATTTATATAGTTAAGCTTATTTATGAACAATTAGTTCGTCTTGTCTTTATATAAATACCTTAAAAATACTGGCTATTATTTCTTTTTAATACTATATTACAACTGTTTCTATTTTCTAATGAATCTTGTATGAAGTGGAGTAAAATTTAGTTCCGTTGCTGCGAAAAAAAATTTTCGATTAAGATTTAAGGGATTTTTTTCATAGTCCCTTGTTTTGCTTAGGTTCTTCAACCAACATAAATTTTATTAAATTACTAGGTATTACTGCCTTTAGAAACATTATAATAGTCATTCAATTATATTTAGACTAAAAGTGATTTTTCAGGGACTGTATTCACGTATCTAATCAATTATTGAATTAATAGCATTATTTCCGGAAGATACTAAACTAAACTTAAACTACATCATGAAACAATTTACCAATAATGGAGTATTATTCATGCTAGCACCAGCATTTCTTATTGCATCAGATTTTATAGCTACCAAGTTTTCTGGTACCAAGGCTGCAACCCAAATAACATCTAATAAGGGAGGGTCAATATTTATGAATCATGTTTATGGGTCAAAATTTTACAATACTAGCTTTAAGAGATTCCCAGACCCTAACAATTCTTCCAATGGGAAATGGTAGGTTCCAAGCCACTTAATTCACACATACCAAACCGGCCTTAACATTCGGTGTCTCTTGCATTTTATCTTATAGAACTTTGTAAATAGTTCCATGACATCCATTCTAATTAAAATTAATATCTTCCACTTTTCGAATTCGTCTTTGAGTGACGATTTATGACCATGCTATGATTAAACATATATATGCTACGTAATATAAATAAAAATATTCATTAATTAAACAACATTGTATTAAACCTAGAAATTGTATAAAGCTCACAAGAAATCATTTATTTTTTTGTCTACTTGTCTTTGGTACCCTAGCAAGCCAGTAGAAAAATATAGTACCGATCATGTTGATAGCGATAAAACAAACAAAGATACCAATATCACGACTTTTCTTACTATAATCAGCACCTAATTGTTTTAAATATACATTTGTCGAGGCAACCGTACAATACTCGCAAGTTCCCGTGGTATCATTACTAACCAAATAACCACCTGCAAAGCTCATATAAGTTTGCATGTATTCACCGCAAGTCTGCCCATCTTCAGGTTTGAATTTTAATAACTCATTATCATCACATGTAACGTCAGAATTTGCTAGAGCGACGGATAAAATTGCTGACACCAAATATGAGAAAGGATTACATCTGTACATGAAAATCCAAAATCTTGGCATTGAATCAGATGAAGCCAAGATACCACAGAACGTTAAACACATTGTGAATAGTAGAGATGACAAATTCGCAGCATTATCCGCTAATTCATTGAACGAGATACATAGCTGCGCCATGGAAGAACAATATATGAAGAACAACACAATAATAATCCACATTAAGGCACCTCTTTGGGCTACAGCATCAGTAGGTTCTGCATTCTTATAAAGACCAATTGGATAGTACCAACAGAAGAAAGCAAGAGTTCCTGAACCAATCTGCCATGGAATCTCGGCAGTAATTTGTGCAGCAATAAAGGCAACCCACGATAAAGTCCTTGATGGCCTTTCTCTAACTTCATATAAATCTCTCTGGGCAACAAAATGAGGCAAGTATTGTTGGACCAAGGTATTGAAAAGAACAAAAAACATGAAGACAGAAAACATTTGATTTTGTAACCCCTGCAAAGATTTATCAGCCTTAAAGAAAGCAAACCCATTGAACAAAGATGAAAATATTGACATTAAGACCTTTGAATAAGTATATGAAGGCGTTCTCCAATATTGCTGGAATACCCTTTGCGTGACGTATTTATACTGATACCAAAATGGAGCTGCATATGTCTTCATATTCTCAGGTGAATTATCTTTCGGCTTTTTCACTAATTCTTGTTCCATAATATCCAATTCATGATTAATCGCTACATATTCAGAGGAATTTATCCAGACATCATAATAGTCTTGATTAGCATGACTTCCTGGTGCAGCACCGATAACTTCCAACATCCACTCTGCTGGATTTGCGTCTGGTGGACATTTAGGTGCTCCGTACTTTTCAAAGTAATCGATCAAGGTTTGACAGTTATCACCGAGGTCACCATAATACACAGTCTCACCACCCTTTTGTAAAAACAATAATCTGTCAAATTCTTTCAACAAAATAGCAGATGGTTGGTGAATAGTACATAAAATAGCTTGCCCATGGTCCGCTAATTTACGAATTAACTTACAAATAGACCAAGCTGTTTGGGAATCTAAACCTGAAGTAGGTTC